GCCCCCATCCCTTGGGCACAGAATCACCATTCAGAGGAATAACATATCAAGCTTCTTCCCATCTGGGCTTTCTCAGTCCTGCTAGCTATGGACCCATTGTGCTAAATGCCGAGGACCCATCAGAGAAAGCAAGTCCTGCCACCACCTCCTCCTGTATGGATGGGATCCTGGATTGAGTGAGCCTGGATTTCCCAAGGAACCAGGGGCATCCTACTGCCCCTCAAAACACATCCTAAAGAAGTAACAGCACTCCCTGCCCTTTCTCCAGCTGTTGGCTCCTCGGAGGTAGGTCCGAAGGGGAATGCAGAGGTGCTGCCTTCTGAGGGATCGTCATCGTTGACCAAAATCAAGGTCCATCCCATCTTCTCAGGACAGCCTCTCTGTCTTTCTGCTTCCCAGTCCTCTCCCAGCCCCCAAACCCACCCGGTCCTTTCCTGAACACGAGAATGCTACCCCTGCCCATTTTGTCTGTCTCCAGGCCTATGCTCTGTCTCGGGCTCCATGCACTTAGAACGTTCTCTGTGATCTCTCTTGCTGCTCCCATGTTCCAAAAGCACCGGCACACCAGCAACTTCAACCCCCTTTTCCTGCCCGTCTGGGCCCTCACACTGCTATCAGCTGCCTAGGCCCTGATGGGAACTTTCCATGGTCATTTCAAGAATTTCTCTCTACCTCTGGCTTTCCCCCTTTGCCTCCCAGTTACTCCCCTTCTTCCTACAGCCTGGTCTCGTCCCAATTTTTCATTCATCTTTCTGGGTCTTTGCCCACGCTCTCCTATAGGTGGGGAAAACCTTTCTTCTCCTACCACAAAGTCCTCCCTATTAATGTCGCCTTTTCTTGACCACCTGCAGTATGTCTGCTTTTAGACAAAGCCATCCCCTTGACTCGAGGATTTGCACCCCCTCCTTCACTTCTGTTCCACAACATTGTTCCACAAGTTCTTCCCTTGTTCTGTTGCATCGTCAATTTATTCCACTTAACTAGATCCTCTCCATCGACATCCAACAGATTAAGTTTCCCATTTAAAAAAACCCTCTTTCTGCTTTCTACTCTTCCCTCCCACTGTTGCCCTTTTCTGCACCTCTGTGAAACAAAAGTCCTTGAAGAAATTGATTACACTTGCTACCACCAATTGCTCCCCTTCTGTTCTTTTAGTCCACTTGAGTCAGGTCTGTTCCTCCGTCACTCACCAGGGGCTGTTCTTCTCAAGGTCCTGAATGATCTCTTTATTACTAAACCTAATGATCAACTACAAGTGCTCATCTTAACTGACTGATGGGCAACTTATCATGAAGTTGGTCGTTTTCTTCTCAAAACACTTTCCTCTGTTGGCTTCCAGGATTCTACTCTTCTCGCTTTCCTCCTATCTTGCTGGTTACCGTGTCTCAGTCTCCTCTGCTTACTGGTTTCTTTTCTTCTTCCCAATTTTTTAACAATGGAGAGTTCCAAGAGCCCACTCCTTAGAGCTCTTCTTTATTTACATTCACTCCTTTAGTGGTCATATCTAGTCTCATGGTTTTACATCTATCTGTATCTGTCTGTCTTTATTTAGTTATCTAAATATCTATCTGGATGGATTTAGAGTCGATAATACTGAGTGATCTTTCACAGAAACAAAGAACTGAGTTTCACATGTTTTCACTCATAAGTGGACCTTGATCAATTATCGTAATGCTGTAAGGACTGCAGTAGTGGGAAACTGCCTGGAGGGGAGCGGGGAAGCGGGATTTACAGTAATGGGACTCTGCCTGGGAAAGGGGACACACCTCATCAACAAGAGTATCTTCATAATGAACATTTGTATACCTAATCCTGAATTGTACCCCACATCTTTAAAATAAAAAAACTAAACAACAAAACATCAGTCAGATCTCAGCAGACCTTCTAATAGCTCCCCCATTTACTGAGAGTAAGAACCAGCTTCTGCATTGACCTACCAGACCCTTATACCCTCTGGCCCCTCACTGCCCTGACGTCATCCTTGACTACTTTCTCTTGATTACTCTGCCGTAGGCTAATTGTCCTCCTTATTTCTTCTAATAGGTTAGGCATGCTCCAGCCTCCAGACACCTGCATTAGCTATCATTTCTGACTGGAATGCTCTTCCACAATTACCCATGTGGTTTACTCTCTCATCACCCTCTCCAGTCCTTGCTCACATGATAATTTCTTAGTGAAAACTCTCCTATATGACTGTCTATCCCAGAGTCCTATTTAAAACTGTATTCCACTCAAGTATTATCTAGCCCTCTTACCCTGATTTTTTGCACATATCTGGTCACTTTCTTCAGACTATATTTTTTATTTATACATCTTTTGCCTCCTTCCCAAGTACTCCCCAATGTGAAACTTCCTGGAAGCAGATTTTATTTTGCCTCTTATGTTTACTGCTGTATTTCTAGTGCCTATAAAAATGCCAGGCAGGCCGAGCTCGATGGCTCAGCCTGTAATCCCAGTGCTTTGGGAGGCCAAGGTGAGTGGATTGCCTGAGCCCACGGGTTTGAGACCCGCCTGGGCAACTTGGCAAGACCTCATCTCTACAATAAATCAAAAATTAGCTGGGTGTGGTAGCACACGCCTGTAGTTCCAGCTACTTGAAAGGCTGAGGCAGAAGGATCGCCAGAGTCCAGCAGGTCGAGGCTGCAGTGGCTGGGAGTGGCCACTGCACTCCAGTCTGGGTGACAGAATGAGACTCCAACTCAAAAAAAAAAAAAAATGCCTGGCATGCAGTAGGTACTTGCTATTTGTTGAAGGGATGAAAGAATGGGTGAATGAATGCCATCCATTCTCCAACTTGGCAACTTCATTCTGGTCCCTTAAACACTTAATATACTTTTTAATCATACAGGGATACAGGGGCTGCTTCAGTGAGTCACCGTTCTCTGACACAGCATACCATTTATTTGACACCATGTCTTTACTCCTTTTTTTTTTTTTTTTTTTGGG